CATGGCTGAACTCCATGATGAAGTTGCCTACGTATCCCAAAGATGAGAATCAAGCCTTACGTAGTTCAGGCTTAGGTTCACTCGGGTATTTTTACTCTCCTTTTGCGCTCTAACTTTTGCCTAGGCCGCCCTTTACGGGTTTTCAGCCTTGCGAGCTCAGTTTTTATATTTTCCAATTTTTTGTGCTCTAACTTTTGCCTAGGTCGCCCTTTCGGGTTTTCGGCCTAGCGAGCCTCTCAAGGGTAATATTTCTTCAACTTGTCCATGTTGATCGGTTGGGAGAATTCCAGGCCATCTAGGTCCATCAGAACCACAGCTCCACCTGACCAGATAGTTTTGATGATGTAGGGGCTGGTCCAATTAGGTTTGAACTTGCCCCTTGGGCCGTGGATGGGAGCTCGGTTGTCTTTGAGCACCAAATCCCCTTCCTTTAGATTCCTGGACTTAACCTTCTTGTTGAAAGTCCGGGCAATTCTGCGCTGATAACTTTGGACATGGTATAGTGCTTTCAGTCTTCTCTCATCAAAGAGCATGAGTTCCTCAAACCTGCTCTGTTGCCAATCTGCTTCGGCTATTTGACACTCAGCCAACACTCGTAAGGACGGAACCTCAATTTCGATAGGTAGAACGGCCTCCATCCCATAAACTAGTGAATACGGAGTCGCTCCGGTAGAAGTTCTAATTGAAGTCCTGTAGCCCCACAGAGCAAACGGCAACTTATCTGGCCAATCCCAGTAGGTTTCCACCATCTTTTGCAGTATGTGCTTGATGTTCTTGTTGGCGGCCTCAACCGCTCCATTGGTCTGCGGCCGGTATGTGGATGACTTATGAAAGGCCACATTGTATTTTTTCAACAAGTCTATCACTTCCTTCTTGAAGGGGGAACCATTATCTGAAATTATCTCGTTTGGGACCCCGTAGCGACAGATGATGTTGTTTCTGATAAATTTCGCGACGTGTGAAGCCTTCAACACCGCATAAGATTGGGCCTCGACCCACTTCGTAAAGTAATCTATCGCTACCAGGATAAACTCATGCCCATTCGATCCCTTCGGGGTAACAGCTCCGATCACATCGATTCCCCAAACTGAAAACGGCCATGAGGACGTCATGTTGTACAGTTTTGACGGTGGGATGTTCATGCGGTTTACATGGATCTGGCATTTGTGGCATCACTGAACAAAACCGATACAATCCTCTTCCATGGTGGACCAGTAGTAGCCCTGTCTGAGGATCTTTCTGGCCAGCATTACTCCATTCATATGTGCCCCACATTCTCCTCCGTGGATGGCCTCCATCAGGCGCTTCGACTCTTCAGCTTCTACACAAAGTTCATGTATTCCCAGATGACCTTTCTTATACAGCTTACCCCCACAGATGATGAACTGAACAGCAATTCTTCTGATTGCCCTTTTATCCTTGGCATTTGCCCCTGGTGGATACGCCTCCTTTTCCAAGAAGTTCCAAATGTCGTAATACCAGGGGTTGTCGTCCTGAGCCTCATCTATGGCGGAAATCGACTCGTACGCTGGCGCAAACTTCTGGTCAATAATGACTGGACGCATCCGGACCCCGGACGGGATGTCTATCATAGAAGATAGAGGTTCTGGTGAATCTGCGAACCTGTTGTTCTCTCTTACGAGGTGGGTGAAATTTAGCTTCTCAAATCGAGGAATTAACAAATCCAAGGTTTGGTGGTAAATTATCATC